GTCATTCAATAGGACTTGGTATTGCTAAGTGCAATATACTATTTAGCTATATACAGTCGGTATATTTTTTGATTATTCAGTAACTAGTTGATTGTTAATTTTTCATTTCTTAAACTTGCGTTGCTCTTGAATCAAAATTTCCATACTCATGCAAAGTGCATGACATGCATTGTCAATGATTGTCAATAATTTTCATTGTAATTTATGAATTTATTGATTCTGAATGTACCTACATACACCTTCTACTAGTTACGTTATTTTCATATAAGTTGACTACTCGATTCTGATTTGGCTATAGTTAGGCCCCTCTTGGAAAATATTATTAGTATTATTAAACAATAAAAATCTCTCAGTTTTATTTTGAAATAATTGGTACTCTTATTTTTTTTCTACAACCGATAAGGATACTGGATATGTAAAAGAAAAGAATAAGTTAATTTTGAAGAATTAAACTCAATACAGAAATTGTGTTAATCCGAGTTCAGTTGGTTTTAGCATTCCGAACTGAAATACACCAACAGAAATGCCTTTTACGGAAAAAATTCCATATAGAAGCAATTCGGTTTTGGCATGCCGAATTGTGAGCAAATTCTAGCTAGTGCCTCGCGAAAAATACTCCTTCTGTGAATTTTGTTCATGGCTTATTTTATTATTTTACAGGTTATTCAGATGTTAGTTGACACAAAAGTCATTATTATAATCCGTTTCTTCATTATACAAATTGAAATTTCCTAAATCTTGTTTTCTTTCATAAAATAACTTGCACATTTTTGTTTCATTCAGTTTTTCAAAGACTCCGATTCATTCTTTCTTCATGTTATCATTCTCTTACCATTTCACACCTCATTCAATCCGATATTCTATCATCCATAGGCGATTCGAAAAATAGGCCTTTCAGCGCTGAACTTAGTATATTTATTATTTTTAATATTCTACTTTTCGAATCCTCTATTTTTCCTCAAACTACCTGAACCATTCATCACATGCACTAAACATTTCATCATTCACACTGAATTATCAACTTATGTTACCTATGTTACCTATGTGTTGTGCCCTAAACGAAAAAAAAATATGATTTTTTGAATAAAGCATTCACTAAAATGTTATCTCAACATAATATCAACTAGTAAAATATGTTAGCAAATATGTAATACTACGACCCTTTTCCCTACGAGCTGGAAACATTATTCTTAAAGACACTAATTCATTGCCCAAACAAAAAAATCTTATCTTGAATTCTGAAAATATACTAAAACTAAAGGAATACTGAGAACTCGCTAGTCAATATTTCGAAAAAAACTCTATCAAGATTATGAGTGATTGCAAAAAATTGTTCGGAATTGAATCCGAATTCTGAAAATCGAAAGTTATAAATAAAAATTACAGAGCCTACACGTTTGTCAGATATTTCTCAACCTGTTTTTCCAAATGTACCTATTTTTAACTTCAAAATTCACGAAATAATCTTCTCAATTTTTGCTGTGCTATTTCTTCACGGGTTAGTTGAACTGTGGAGTCTACAGGGCGTACTGGCATTTGTTCAGTGGCGTAGAATGTATAGTTAGTTTTAAAAGTTTGAAATAAACGTGATTTTTGGGTTTTTCTCAAGTCTAGTTTTATTTTTCTCGCCTTAGTCAATAAATATTATCGACGACTTAGATTATTACGAGCCATTCAAAGAAATTTTAGGGAAAGGGAATCTATGACTGAGTATCGTGCCAACTGTATGATTACAAATCAGAGTGAGCTGAAAGTGGACAGTTATCCTCCATTCAGGTAGTCATTGACTTATTTATGATACACAACCCCAAGCTGATACTGACGAGACAGGTATTGGAATGTATGTACCATTAACAAATCAGTAGGTTTGAATCAAGGTGCCTCTAATTGTACACAATTCTCAAAATATGTTATTGGTAATCGCTTAGAAGCTGGTACTGGCGATACAGGTATTCTTCACGATTAGACAATATCAATGATATATTTCCAAGCTGAAGTAAGACAGGTATTGGGCATAATCATTCATAACTCAAGAATTGTGACGTGGTGAGAGAAAATAGATAAAATAAAATGTCAAAATTGAAAATAAAAAGTTGAATTTATGCATGTTCATTACTGAATATTGTCAAGGACACCCTGTATCTTTGAAAAAAGTAAAAAATCTGAATAATTAGGTACACTCGGATGCTCTGTTGATAAGGGTTGATAGTGCGCAAACAACTTGAAATATATATACCAATAAAAACGAGAGAAAAAAATTGGGTTGTGCTCCATTTTGGTTGAAAAAAAATTCTTGACGTAATATGATATGATACTTGAAAAAATCATATATGATATATCACCTATACTAATAAATGGATAGCTGAAACTAAACGCTCTGTATCTCTGCATGAAAATCGAATGAGTTCCTCAAATACCCCACTTAATAAAAAAAATTGGTTTATATAACTTACTTATCTAAAACCAGAACTGAAATATTTAATGTTTCCCAGAAACTTCGTAGAAACAATGAAATGAAATACACAAAATATCACCAGAGAATATTTTTCTAAATCACTTATTATACCATAATAGCAAAATTTCCCAGAATTTTCAGAAACAATGGTGCATGGTTGTATAAATTAGATCATTATTATTTTGCCTTTCAAGTTACGCATCAATGGATACAAAAAGGAAAATCACTTATTCAGAAAATTCAAGAGAATCTATAAAAAAAGTTGAGTTGAAAGTGAATTGAAAGCAAGTATCAAGAAATCAATTATTGAAATCGATTATTGGATTTACGAAAACTTCATATTTTGAAATGAATCGTGGTTGGATGGGTGTAATAGCTTTATAAAACACAAAATTGACTGGAATAACGAAAATTGATCACAAATCTGAATGAACTTGATAGATTAACTATGGAGAGTTAATCTGTAGGAAGGAGCAAGGCGCCTCCACCACGTGTCGCAACTCAGATGGTTTTGGTAGATTATTTGGCAAACGGCGTGTCCACCACATGTCGCAACTCAGATGTTGCCCTCCTATGGATCGCAACTTGGCTACTCGCTTGGCTTGATGAGAGGATTTTGATCATTTCACCACCCAACCATATTCATCCCCAAATGAAGAGTCAAGATAGTTTTCGTATACAATTAACATTTATTGATTTAATGGGAAATTCGTGAATAAATGCTTGCCACATGGCAAAGTAGCAGAGACAAACCCTAGTGATTACCAAACGGAACACAACACAGAAAAACAAATCAGATAAAACATGGAAAACAGTACTTACATTATGACATCTAACATGGGGTTGACCAGCAGGATCAATGTCGGGAAGACGGTACACTTTTTGGCAGTAACTCGTGAATAAGTAACTCAATTACGGAATAAAGTAAAGTGTTATCGAAATGCATTATAATTAGTAATGAATAATCAATAATAGTGAATGATCAGTAATTGAGAAATGGATGATCAATAATAATCGAAAATCAGTAATGCATGGCTTATCGATTCGGAATCTATTTATATTTGGAATCGATGCTAACTTTGCAATTTTCCCAATGGCAATGCTCGATACCGGGCGTATAGCTTGGCCCGCATCGCAAGCTAAGCGGTTTCAAGCAAATTTTACCGGAACTAGAGTCTATGAACTCCGCTTTGACCTGATCGAAACGTTGTACAAGATGTTTCAATTTGGAAAAGTTAATTCATGAATAAATGAACGAAAGTTATTTCATAGACATTTGTACTTCTTGACAAATGTTTGTGATGCAGATACGATACTCCTTCGAATACCCTTTTTAGTCAGTAAATGAACCTAAATTTTATTTGTTTGATTTGTTTTCCTATCCTTTAGCACAGACAATTCCTTTCTACAGGGATTGGGTTAAGAAAGAGGTTTGTTGAACTTTATTTTCTGTAGATGGCGTCCAAATAAAATCTTATCTGGTGGAACTATCTTTCTTATGCTAATTGTTATATTCTTGACAAAGTTACATGATATGGTAAGTAAATGAACCACGACCCATTTGCCCCGACTATATGAGCTGACCGTTCGCACAGTGTAACCTGAAATTTCTGAATTTCTCACATTTAAGGGTTATGATGGAGTTGTTCTCTATGATACTTTTGCCTCAGACAATTTGTAGACAATCTACCATTGACTCGGTTATGTGCAAGATGGAATAAATCTTCACTAAATAAGTTATCGTCCAGCTGTATACCCGAACCAAGTGATATTTTTTTAGGATATTTTCCATTCAGTTTCTGAATATCTTGAACATGTTCAATGAGATATTCAATTGATTTGCGAGTCAGAAAATATTATGATTCGAGCGTCACATATAATGTGGAACATAGTTTCAGAGATGAATTTTCCATCCGTTTCATATCGCAATCGTACTCAATGGAAAACAATTGTTTTTCATTATCCCTCAGACGGTACTGAATAGAAATATCTCCATTTTCCAGGTCATTTTTATTGCTATAATTTTCATTCATAATATTATCACCTATCTTGTTGCCATGTCTCCTAAAAAAATTATGTCTGATCTCAGATACTGTCTTAAAAATTGTATTACTACCACATGATCCTTCGAATTAACATTCTATATTCAATTTTTGTGCACGTACTTATATATATGACTGTTGAACTGTTCTCGTTTAGTGAATCCCATTGAACAACTAACTACAGAACATCTTCAATAGTTATGTTGGATTACTGAATATCTTAATTCATTTTTGTGTGTCCTATCTCTATGGCAAACGAGTCCTTCGTGACTTCGGAATGATATAAAACATTCAGCATGCTTACATCTGGAAAACCTGTCTGATTTTTAATGGAAATATAGATGTAAGTGCATATAAATTAGACTGCTGAACAATCTCTTCCAAAGTTTTTTTCCAAAAATAAATGAAAAAATTCTACAGGTTTTCTGTACTGACCTGCATCACTGGGTGGTTTTGGCGATCATATTTTATTCATTTTATAGTTGGGTATAGCAGTTTTTCTTTCAGATTATTGAGGTCCGTTTGCACTTCACGAACGTTGCAAGTGGAACATTCATTTCTGGGTCACTATCTTCTGATATGTTGCCATATCTTTCTGGAGGAGTCGCGTCATCTCTGGAATTATTATTTGTAACATTCATTTCACAAATTTCACGTAACATATTGCCGCCAAGGTGATTCATATTCTCCTCGGCATCATAATCACTCGCATCACTATCTATATCTGTCTCAGCTCCATCCAACGATGATTCCATGGCTGACCAATTATGAAGAAGAAACGAATAAAACCACTCGAAACTATCGAAACGTGTTGGTTGTAGCTCCAGTGAGCCTACTCAATATTCGTTCATTCTAAACATAACCTCATAATATAAATAACACGAATTAAAGTGCCATCCATTCAAATGGATACTATACACTGATGGGTTGAGTAAACATCAACAATTGTTAGATTCACTCAGTTTCAGTATAAAATTTTCAGAAATGAATTCAGAATATTCAGATTTGATAGATATATTAGGAATTATTGGCCCTTTGCAATGCAGTTTTCTTAATTGGAGATATCCTGTCTCAATATGTCCTGTTTGTTTGGATAGGAGTGTGGCATCTAGTTCTTCTTTTCTGTTGATAAGTTGTTGAACATACCATTTGGGGTATCTGCAGCTAACAAAATTTCAATAGTGTCTTTGTTCTTCAAAAGCGTGTAGTCCGATACCTTTGCAAAGTTGGGCCAAGAGTATCTTGTAAACCGCTGTTCGGTTAAATAAAAATCCTCACCCTTCCGTCGATATTTATTCTCGAAACAGTGTGTCTAGTACATAAAATCAAATCATCATACGAGGTAACAGTTGGTATCACTAGACAAAGTAACAATTTGCGACTACCTATTCCGTCTTCAAATCCAACGAAAAACTCTCTGATCTAGAGTGTGATTAAACTATACAATCACCTCCCTCCCGCCTTCAAAAACATAGTTTTGCCATCTCATTTCAGGAGATCTGTCAAGCGCTCACTTATCGATGAGGTTTTTTATAATGTTCAAGAGTTTCTTGAGAAAGATTGGAATAGTTAAAATATATGTCTATTTTTACATTTAGGAATTGTATTCTACTGCTCAATCTATTTTGCATCTGTCTGTTCTCTTTTATTTTTTTCTTGTGCTGTGTTTCTTGTGTGTGTGACAATGCTATAGTACCTGCTCTATACTATTTATTTATATATACTTATTTAATTATGTATTTTATATTCATCATGACTCTATCAATGAGATGAAAATCTTCCGATAATGAAGTATATTTTGATTTGATTTGATTCTGAGAATCCAAATAACTCGATTTCGATTCTACTCAAAAATATTTCACTGTCACAAAAATTGATGTTAGAATCACAGAAACTGCTGAAAACCCAGAAGAATATTGAGGAAAAAAGAAATATTTTTAGAATGCATTCATTTTTGTCGATTAGTCGAATGCGAGTGAACGCCTCTGGATGAAATTGATATCAATACAAGTCGACTGTTCGTGGTGGCAAACGTAAATCGCGTCGACATTTATGTCACGAATTCGTTTCCAATCTCGACAATTCGTCAACAGATCGTGGTTCTACTACTGGCGTCACTGGCAACTGGCATAGTTCTATCATTAGTCAGTGAATCATTTGAATTAGCAACAATCAACGCTACAACAGGACCTTCAATTATCATAACTCCATCATTTGAGGGAAGCCAGTATCAATGAACCAGTTTCTCAGCAATTTGAATAGGTGGGGAACATCAGCAAAAAAGAAATAGGCTTTCTAGTGACAGGATGTTCTGAGGAAGTATTGGTTATATCAATCGATTTACACAAACCTTGAATTCCGAATTCCACCACCTCGATCTGAGGAGCATGCAACGACATCATATTTCACCTGATGTAATTGAGAAATTACAATTTCCTGGTCAGAACTAGGGTTGCGCGATATTGGATTTCAGTTATCGGTTATCGATAAGTTGAAATTTATCGATAAGTTCGATATATCGATATATCGATATTTATCGATATATCGATATTTATCGATATATCGATATATCGTTATATCGATATTTAAAAACTTGAATATCGTTATTCGATATATCGATATATTTATCGATATATCGATATTTTTTCCCAGCCCTAGTGTCAAACATTGAGAGACTATATAGTTATCCAATACCGAAAAGTGGAAAAGAAATATTTCACCATATTATTCAATGCAGCGCTTCAAATTAATTATGAATTCTTACACGAATTACTTTAATAACTTAATTTTGGCAATACCAACAGAAACATTCATAACAATTGTTCAAAATGATGACCATTATTCTCCAAATAAAGATATCCTCTTCTCACAGTTGCTTCTAAGACATTACTGAGCAACCTTATCTTGGACACACTGTATATCGATATATCGATATATCGATATATATCGATAAATATCGATATTTATCGATATATCGATATTTAAAAACTTAAATATCGTTATTCGATATATCGATATATCGATATATTTATCGATATATCGATATTTTTTGCCAGCCCTAGTCAGAACCTATGTAGACAGGCTATTTCCAATAATCAAACATGCCTCGTGCCATGATAACTTGCATATATGAGTGTGGTCCCATTATTTAATCATGTTTTTTGATAATACTCATATAGGGATGACACTTCCACTTCATCAAATGAGAGTACTGTGGCTTTAAAACGATTGTTTTTTGTTTCGCTTACTGTTTTCATGAGTTGTAGAACATCTCCCAAGATGCCATCTGTCAAATTAATATTTGCAGCTCATCTTTGTAATGTAGACAATCCTGGTATGGGATAATGCAATTTTTCTCTCGAGTAAACATATGAGCGTTTGCTGAAATATCTGAGAGTAAAAGCTCTAGATAATTCCTCTTGGGTCCAATAAGCTTTACTTTTCCTCTTCAGTGCAATATCAATTTGATTGAAAGTCAAGAAATCCTTGGAAGCTAATTTCATGTTCTCTCCATATGCAACGCCATGATTTTCCACATGTTCTCCCAACTGAGATATACGTGCTTGTAAGACTTTTTCATGATTCTCATTATCTTCAATCAAATTTTCTTTCTCACATGCCTCAAACTTTCTTTTCTAGACATCACAATCTGCCTCCTTTCTCTCCTTTCTGGATGATGGATTTTGAGAAATATCATCAATGGATTCATTTGATTTTATGCATATTTCTTTAGAATCATCGTAATTGAATCTTCTACAACCAGCTTATGTTCTTTCCTAATCATTCTCTTGGATCTGGTAGGGCTGGCAAGTTTCTCTTCACTCGCAAATAAAAATAAAGAAGAAATAGCTGAAAAAAAAACATTAGATTTAAAATTGTTGTCTCCAAAATTTGATAAATATTCAGCATCTTTCTTCAAAACTTTTGATTTCAGATCCATCAATCTTGCCTGTAATTCGTCTTGACAGTCATTTGGTTTGAGATGTATGCTGCATTTTCCAACCCACAGTTTCTGTATATCAGAATATTTGGGGAAAATGGAGAATGATATATTTTCTGAATTTTCTATTGTTTTCTTGGAATCGTTTTTGCATGCAGCTACACTGAAAACTGTCTCATTTGGCATCTAAGCTAACAAAAACTCCATTAGACAGTATACTTTTTACCATTCAATATAAACTGTATTCACCTCGAATAATGAATATTCGCTATATAATATATATATATAATAATAATTCTTTATTGCTCCTTAAGAAATTACATTCCTATAGCAAGAAGTCCAATCTAGCACAAACTATACATAGTATAAAGAGTACCAACTGAAAATAAGGCGCTCACGACTTTTCAGAGAAAAATGTGGTACATACAAATACTTGTAATGAAAACAGGTAAACATCAATCTTTCAATCATTCATTCATCACGAGCGGACGCAGTTTAAAGAAGTTCAGGACTTGTCCACACAATAATTTCAAATTCTTCACGTTGATACTGTCTAGCGCATTAATAAAATTTTCGACATTTTCGAGAATGATGACATTTTTTGGTTTGACTGTAGATAATATGGGGCATTCAAAAAATACATGCTCGAATGTTTGTGGCATATTTTGATTACATACATCACAAATTTGTTTGAACTCTCTCTGGTGGACAATACCAGAATGCGAGATTCTCAGGTTAAATCTACCAGTGAGCCTAATTTGATCAATTATTCTGATTATATAAATAGGAACATTCATGGTTAGATAAGTCTTGACAGCTTCGTTAATGGCAAAAAAATTATAGAACAGAGGAAATCTGGAAAGCATTGATTTATTAAGATCATCGTGGAATCATTTCAGGTGAAATTGTGTAAGTAAATTGTTTTTGTTTGCTGATAATTTACGGGAAGATACTCCATCCCATATATCCAGACGGTCCACATAAGTAAAAAACTGTTTCATTTGGCTAGCCCAGTTATATCTTATATCTGCAGCATTTTCCAAAAGACATGAGACTCAGAAAGCATATTTTCGGGAGTCTACCATCATCCATGTTTAGAATTTTTATAAGCCAGTTGAGCGCTTGCTTGAACACAATGTGAGTAATTTTCACCCTACCGACTTCTAAACGAATCAGATGATCAGGAGTATTTCTAGGTAATAAAAGAAGCCTCTTAAAAATGCAGTCTGTATTTTTTCGAGCAAATTATCGTATCTGAGTGTCCAGATAGGTAAGCATGTTGATATGTTAGCTATAACGATTGACTAAAATAATTTTATACGTCCTTCCCATGATTTCATTCTCGAGTCTACCATCAGAGATGTGACTGCCCCTATTTCCGTTTTTGCCTCCAATACAGAGGAAGTAGACATATCCCTGACTAGGGCTGATGAAGTGAAAGTCACACCCAGATGTACGTGTTTGTTCACTATTTCAATTTCCTTATTATTCAACAAAAAAAAATAGTTATAATTTATTCTGAATCCTCCCTTAGTAAATCGCATAATTTTAGATTTCGTGGTGTTTACCTCCAACCCTTTTTCCGTCGTCGTGTACCTCTCCAGTATAGCAAGTTTCCTGCTTATATCAATTTCTGACTCTCCCAAAATGACAAAATCATCCGCATACCAAAGCATTATGACATTAACTGCTTTATCTATACTCAGTCCCGAGCAACTGTTTGCGCGGAAATACGTTTCTATGTCGGAAATAAACAATGAAAACAAGGTGTAATAAATGCTGGGTAGATGTCTGTCGTCTGAACGACCTATTATG